CCCCCCCGAAAGAGTCTAGAGTGAATCTGTCGGAGTGATTCTTGCTTCTCTCTCGCCGGGAGGGCGGCCTCTCTCGTTTGAGCGGGCGGCATCCTGATTTCTTCTCTGGATGTCTCTGCTGTTCAGGATCCGAGGGCCGGCAACTGTGGGAACAGCCTTTTCCATTTGCCTTCGCCTCTTCAGGAGGAACGCTCCCTTGGCCGCTTGCCCGCAGGTGCCAGGTTGACACCCTGGTAAACCTTTGCCAGGTGTGTTCCTGCTCAGCAGGTGTGGAGTCGAATGTCAGACGTGACGCCCAGGCGTCGCTTGCTTCGAACTGCTGCTCGACAGAATATTATACCCACGTCATTAATGGCTGGGTTTTATGTGTGGTCGCCCCTCTTCCTTCGGCAGTCTGGTCTGAGAACTTTGTAAGGGCACGGCAGCAGAGGAAAGGTTTTTAAAGAAAAAGAAAACAGCTCTTTGACATTATTTTAAGGCCAGAGTGTTCTGTTTACGAAGGCCGGAATCATTTCTTTGGAAGATTTACTTTGGGGCCACTTGGAGATAAGGAGCTGACCAAGGTTGACCTCCTTCACAGCAGCCTGGGCAGTAATTGGAGGTGGAAGCAAGAAAAAGGCGTTGTTAGCGGCTGGTTCTCTGCCGGCTGCGGCTTCCTCTGATACAGCCTGGCATGTTTCCTCCCAGGTTGCTCATTAACTTTGTCAGCGACCGAGAAGCCCCCAGTTGGCAAGGCTACCTGTACGCCGTGCTGCTCTTCATCTCCGCTGGGCTGCAAACCTTGGTCCTCCACCAGTACTTCCACATCTGCTTTGTGACCGGCATGAGGCTCAAAACCGCCGTGATCGGCGCCGTCTATCGGAAGGTACCTGCCTGAATTTGGCACCAGAATGCAGCCAGCCTCGTTGGTGAAACAGGCAGGGAGGTGTGACAAAATAAGCCAGGAACCCTTTTTTTCCCCTCTAAGCTTCAGACCCAAGCCACCGGTCGCCACGATGGTTTAGCTTTAACCTAGGGCCATGTGGCTAGATTCATCCTCAAGATGTGTAGCTGGAGAGGTGCTGTGCCTGTTCTAATTCATCACTTGGCATCCAGCCGCCTCCACACCTGAGTACAGGTGACTTCCGCCTTTGTGTAAAGTGTAGCTTAGCAACGCCTGCCTTATCCTTTGATCATGCCGCCTTCAAGATTAGGGCTGCGCTAATTTGCTTGCTGATAGGTTTTCAAAAGGCAGAGGTAACCCCCCCCTCTCTCTAACCCCGCCACCTGCCCACCTCAGTTAGTGAAGCAGATTTTGGTTTTCAAAAGCATCCAGACTAACCTGAAAGTGTTGCTTTCCTAGAGGAAACCAAGAGCTTCCTTTACAGCTGTCTGCCTTCTTGCCAGATCTTGATAAAATTACTTCAGGGGGTGTCTCAATCCAGTGGCTAGTCCTAGCTGGATTAGAGGTGGCCTGTAGGTTGCTTTCTCTGTCCCAGGGGTGTAGTTTAGCATGACATCTGGACCTGCCCCTTCCAGCCTGGGTTCGGCTTCCCTTGAGGCTCCTTTTGGGTAGATCTGTTCGCCTCCCGACGTCAGCTCCAGGCGGCTGTGCGCGTGGACTCTTGCAAACGGAATGTCTGCACCCCGGAGATCTCTCAGTCTTTCTGACACTGGTGTGTTTCTCTCCTGCTGCCCAGGCCTTGGTCATCACTAATTCTGCGAGGAAGACCTCAACCGTCGGGGAGATCGTCAACCTGATGTCGGTGGACGCCCAGAGGTTCATGGACTTGGTGGCCTACATCAACATGATCTGGTCTGCCCCTCTGCAGGTTATCCTGGCGCTGTATTTGCTGTGGCAGGTAACCGCCCTTCCCAGCTCAGCAGACACGGCTTGCTTTCTGTAGCTAAACAGCGGTCCCTTCCTGGAAATCTGGTGAAGGGGGGGCGGCCTTTATGGGTCAAAGCCTTCAGCCCCGAAATCTCAGGTGGGGGCATGGAGGAGGACAGCCCGGCCGTTTGCTCCCGCACTGGATGGAACACTGGGCTCAAGACTTAATTTTATTTATTGGACTTATATACCGCCCCATAGCGCTACAAGCACTCTCCGGGCGGTTTACAATTTTTAATTATACAGGCTACACATTCCCCCCTCCCCCCCAGCAAGCTGGGTACTCATTTTACCGACCTCGGAAGGATGGAAGGCTGAGTCAACCTTGAGCCGGCTACCTGGGATTTGAACCCCAGGTCGTGAGCACAGTTTTAGCTTGCAGTACAGCGTTTTAACCACTGTGCCATGAGGCTCTTTTGACAGATGGTTGTGTAACTCTCTCCAGAATGCCTCCAGTGTTGGACACTACTTAAAAGAAACTTCATAGATTCTTGTCATGTGTCTGATGCTGCTGACAATTTGCAGGCTCCTGAACTAGGCTGATTAATCTAGCAATAGAGAGCAAGTTCTTTTTAAGCACTTGTGTCAATAACTCTTATTGCAGAACTCATTGGAATGTGGGTATAGCTATTTCACTTACAGTGGCTTAGGCGCCTCAAGAGGCCAGGGCTTGGAAAAAGTACCGTTTTGGACAGTGTACCCAGAACGTGCCAGCCAGCATGATTGTTCTGGAGTAACGTTCCCACCATGTGTCTGGGAAGACTGGTTTTGCTGAAGGTCGCTGTGGGGCCCCTTGTGGGCCATCGAGATGAGCAGGGCCATCCCCGGGTTTCCACCCACGCTGTCCCCTCTATCGGGACTCTTCCTCTGGGAAATGCTGGAGCTTTCCAAAGGGGCTAGCGCTCGAACTAAGCAGGTGCTCATGCCAGGGCGTTAGGGGCCCTCCCCGGTTGCCTCAGGAAAGAGCCTGGGGTCTTTACACCTCTTTCAGCCTGAGGACTTGGGGGCCACATTCCAGTGGTGTGAGAGGCCAAAAGCAAAAAGGGGCCGAACCAAATAGTTGCTTTTTAAAAAAAGTTTAAACCTTTGGCTTTAGAAGGGGGCAGAAGAAAACAATATAAAAGCTGAGAATCCACCAAATAAAGTTTTTCTGAGGGATCCGTCTTGGCTATCTGGGGAGCCCCGTAGGTTTGACTTCAGGACCTGATGTTTCTCTTCATCCCCAGGCCAGAGCGCTTCTAAAGCCTTCCCAGATTGACCTCTGAGTAAGCCATCTCTGTGTCCTTATCAATGTCGCCCTTATCAACTCTTTTTCTACTCAGAATCTAGGTCCCTCTGTGTTGGCCGGTGTGGCCGTCATGTTGCTCCTGGTCCCAGTGAACGCCGTGATAGCAATGAAAACAAAAACCTATCAGGTATGGGGAAGCTGGTCTCTGACTATTCCATTTTCAACTCAAATGGACCACACATAGAGATTCTGCAATCGCATCCACCTCATGCCTTCTTGGTGCGATAACTAAATTCCATTATAACTCTGGGAACCAGTTTGTTCCAGCTGCCACCCGAATTTTTCAGGCAAAACTGATTAACCGCCTACTCTATGGCGCCCCAATTTGGATAAATGCTATGGACAACAAAGTAGATCTACTGGCTGCCTCTTTTTACCGCCGGATTCTAGGGATACCAACTTCAATTAAACTATCGACTATAGCCCTAGAGTTAGGCATGCATCTACCCTCATCGGTAGCGTGGGCGCATTTCGCTCGGTGTCGTCTCTCTCCCTTCCATCTCTTCTCTGTCCTTCTCCTTCTCCTTCTCGCCCATCTTCCTTAAATTAAGAAGTTATGTCCTTGTCCATCGGAGCTGAGATAAGATAAGGGTCAGCTTGCTCTTCTTAACTTTTTTTTTCTTTAGCTGGAGAAGAACTGACCTTGTACATTTTCCCTCTAATTAGCACCTGGGCGTAAGCAGATTTCTAGCTTTTTCGTTGCAGCTCTGAAATAAATCCTATAAAATACAACACTATTCTATTTTCATAATCAAATCCATGACAACACCCAGCTAAACCCGCCTGTTTTTCCAGCCGAGAGATTTTTTTTTTTTTAAAAAAAGCCTTGTTAATTCCAGCAACAAGTTTGCTCTATAAATCCTGCCGGCCGATGCCAGGATTTTGTCTTGACGTGGTGTTTCTTGCCTTTGGGTCATTTCAGGTTGCGTACATGAAGAGTAAAGACAACCGGATCAAGCTGATGAATGAAATTCTCAACGGGATCAAAGTGCTCAAGCTTTACGCCTGGGAACTGGCCTTCAAAGACAAGGTCCTGGAGATTAGGCAGGAGGAGCTGAAGGTGCTCAAGAAGTTGGCCTACCTGGCCGCCATCGGGACGTTCACGTGGGTGTGCGCCCCGTTCTTGGTGAGTACGGCCTGGTGGTGAAGGCACCGCTTCATGTTGTGTTTGGAGCATTCACTCACAGAGCTTGGATGCCAGGAAAGGTTGAGAGTGGGACCTGCCAGCTTTGAGTCGAGCATATCCAGTGCCCAGCCTAGTGTAGCAGACTACAACACCCATCATTCCCAACTAGCACACACCTTCCATTTGGTCAGATGCACCAACGGCTTGGGCTGGGATTAAGCTCTTCCCCGAAGACCTGGTGATGCTGACAGTTCCCTTCGGCTTGTTCTCTTCAATAGGCAGATATCTGCAAACTCTGGAGAACAACGAGGCCACCCTCTTAGAGTTCTCTCCGGGAGGCTTGCTAAATTCACAGTCCAAGTTCTCAAGAAGAGTCAAAGAATCAGGCCGGTGTTTTGAAAAAGAACCTTTTCTTTGTTGCTGAATAGATCTCTTGAGCTGGAGGGCAGCACCTTCTCGGAGTAGCAGGATCAATGCACCACAGCACCTGCTGCTGAGCATTTTGAGCACACACACACAGACACACACACACACAGAGATCCACAGTCGTGCCCATCTAGGGTCTATATGCCCGGTGGGGACCCTGTGGAGCTGTTGTGGGAGAAGCGAAGGGAGGTCGGCGGGGAGAGGAAAAGGGAATCCCCTCCCTCCGAGTCTTGCCTTTAAAAAAACCCTTAATATTCCCCCAGTCCTGAACCTTTTGCTAGTTCTAAACCAGTGCCCAAGATCAGCAAAGCAACCACGGGTATTCGTGTCGTTCTCTCGGTCCACCGTCGTGTCTTTCCATGAGAAAGGCGCAGCGTGTAACGGCTCTTTTGTTCTCCCGGCGTAAGAGAACGGCGCAGCTCTTAACGTCCTGATCCGTGTTATTCTAGGTAGCTTTATCAACGTTTGCTGTTTATGTGACAGTTTCTGAGCTGAACGTTCTGGACGCCCAGAAGGCCTTTGTCTCCCTGGCGCTCTTCAACATCCTCCGGTTCCCCCTCAACATGCTTCCGATGGTCATCAGCAGCATCGTCCAGGTAAGGGTCTCGTTCTTCGGTGGGAGGTGGCCTGGCCATTGCTATGGGGCTGGGGTGGGTGGATGGGTCCTCTGTGGGTCTGGCCGCGTTGGGTCCCCCGGGGGACCCACCGCAAGCCCCTCCAGGCACTGCAGATGAAATGGGAAGAGACAGGAAGCCATCTCCTGGTTTCAGAGATCTCTTCTCCTCGCTGAAACAAGGTGCAGGAGGGCCACCAGCCTTGTTCAGAACATGAGTTGAGTTTCCGGAAGCCTCGTTCTCTGTTTTAATTGGGGGGAGGGAACCCATTTCACTGCAGGGTTTTTTGGGGTTGGTTTGATGGTGGTAGTTGGTGCCCTCCAGGCATGCAAATCTGCCTCCCCCCCCCCCAACACATACCACTTTTCATTAGGTTGTGGCTGATACAAAAGGCCTTTTGCCACCACCGGCCCTGGAGGGCAGCTTGCTAGTCAGAGCCCTTGATTCCGGGACAGAAGGGCCGGACGGTCTGATCCTGCAGGAGGCAACTTCTCCAGGCCCGGCAGCTGCTCTGGGGCCTAATTAGGGAGCCTTTGTGGGTCTGAGGCCAAGCTGGGTCTTTGGGTGTGTGTGTGTGTGTGTGTGGTCTGTGGACTTCTGCTGGCTGAGACCATGCATCTTCCTTTCCCAGATCAGGCTAAACCTTCCTCTCTCTCGCCCAGCATTAGGCTCCTTGCAGTAGCTAAGTGGATCTGGAGGCATCTGGAGCGTGGAGGCCAAAGTCCGTCCTTCCTATTGCCCCCTAGGGCAACTGGGGTCTTCGGAGCTGCCCGACCTGGAGGATTCTCTTTTCATTCCCTTCTAGCACTAGATGGGTTCCCTGCATCAGTGTGTGGTGTGTAGGCCCCCCCCCATCACGTTGTGGGGAGGCATCTCTGAGCCCATCCAGTCCTGCCCTGAAAAGTCTTCCCACAAGTCACTTTGCCAGCAGGCAGCGAAGTCTGTAGATCCGTCATGCGCGGAGGGTCCATGTTTTTGAGGGACCTAGTTTTGGGGAGGGATGAACGGACAGATGTCCCAGAGGCCAAAATGACGGGGGCCTCTGTCCCTTCCCCTCCTGTGCCTTTCCCTGTTTAGGCCAGCGTGTCTCTGAAGCGCCTCCGAGTGTTCCTCTCCCACGAAGAGTTGGATCTGGACAGAATCGTCCGAGGTTCCATCAAAGACGGTGAGTTCAGTTTCTACTCCGGAGGCCTGGGAAGGAGGGCTGTGTTTCGTGCCTCCCTCTGACGGGCTTGAAAACCCTTCTTCCTTCCCTAGTGGACGGCAACAGCGTGGTTGTGAAGAACGCCACCTTCAGCTGGTCCAGGAGCGACCCGCCTTCGCTGCATAAGTAAGAGTCTGCCTTGCCTTCCCTGGGGGTGGTGGGGTGGTTAGCTTTTCACGACGCTCAAGGGTTAAGTTTTCTCCCACTTTGCTGCCCAGAGGGAACCAGTGAGGCTGTCCAAACAACAAATTCCTTTTTCTCCCTGTCGTAAAGGAAGATCATAAGTCCTTTTTGAGAAGTTCCTGGAAATTCCTTCTGCCCCTGTGCAGTGATTATATTCAGTTTTTGAAAATATTTCTCTCGTTTTGAAGGAACCTGCAGTAGCCTGTGTTATGAGAGAGAGAGACAGACAGACAGACAGACAGACAGGCCCATCCGCCTATCCATCTAGACCCATCTACCCCGTCTTAACTTTTTCTTCCGTCTGCCTATTCCCTCTTGGGATGGCACAACGGAGACTTACGCTGTCTCGGTTATTTTCCTAGCATAACTTTCGCAGTCCCGCAGCGCCGCTTGATTGCCATCGTCGGTCAGGTTGGCTGCGGCAAATCGTCCCTGCTCTCGGCGCTTCTGGGGGAAATGGAAAAGCGAGAAGGTTTCGTCTCTATTCAGGTGCGACCGCCGGGCAAGCAGTTTTCTTGCCCTTGTGGGGTGTGTTTGCGTGTGTTCTTTTAAAGATCCAAAACACAAAGAAGAAAACCACGGAGGAACTGGGCTGCTTCTTGGGTGGGATATCGAGGCCCGAAAATGGGCTCGCTCCTCGTGGTTTCTTCCTCAAGTTCAGCATTGCCCCTCTTTGGGAAGGCTGGTGGCTGAGAGCTGCGGGGGGGGACTTGGGGGGGTGGTCTTCCTGTCCAAGATGAAGAAGGAGCTTTCTCTCGACCGGCTGGGTGACTCTGGAATTGCCGCCTTCCTCTGTGGTTTTCCTTGTGTCGTGGGGACACTTTTCCCTGAGCCGTTTCTTCCCCCAAATTGACCCATTGGCCCCTCTCGTGGGTTGAGTGTCTCAAGGTGTGGGGGAAGCAGGGTGGCAGGTGGCGTGAATGAGCGGGTCTTGGGACGAACAAGCCACCGACTCAGGGAGCGCCGGGCCAGGCAGCTGGGGGGGGCAGTCCTGAACCTCCGGCTCTCCTTTCCCTGCAGGGCTCAGTCGCCTATGTCCCTCAACAAGCTTGGATCCAGAACGCGACTCTGGAGCAGAACATCCTCTTTGGGATGGAAATGAAGGGGAGCCAGTATAAGAGGGTGCTGGAGGCCTGCGCCCTGCTGCCGGATCTGGAGATTTTCCCATCAGGAGACCAGACCGAAATCGGAGAAAAGGTAGCTGTTTATATAACGAGGTCTTGATCGGTTTTTTGAGGAGTTGTTGCAGGCTGAGGTTTTCCTGTCCCGGCTTCTCGGGTCACGAGAGCGTCTCTTGGATTTGACTCCCGGTGTTGGGTGACATCTCGCTTGCAGGATCCTTACCCTAATTTGTAGACAAGCCATCCTGTGGAAAAGTTCCGTTTACGTTGGACGTGCACACTTGCCTCAGGCAGCTTTTGCAGGTGGCATGATATAGGCACCATGCTCGTTAGGCTAACGAAATAGATCCCGGCATTCTACGTCCCTGCCTAGCAATCCAGGAGAACTTGAGATGTTGAAGTCTTTTTGAAAAAAAACCCACCTTTCTGACGGGAGCTTGAACCTCTCGTGTGAGCCCGTTCCGTTCAGACGCCAGAGGTTGCCTTTGCTTTTCCTCCCCCTCCTCCTCCTCAGGGCGTGAACCTGTCCGGTGGCCAGAAGCAACGGGTCAGCCTGGCTCGGGCGGTCTACTGCAACGCTGACGTTTACTTGCTGGACGACCCCTTGTCGGCTGTCGACGCCCACGTCGGGAAACACATTTTCGAGAAGGTCATCGGGCCCAGGGGACTCTTGAAGAACACAGTAAGTCTGAGGCTTTGCGGGGGGGGGGCAGTGCCCTATAAAGGGTGGGGAGAATCTTGTCTTTTCGTCCCGGTGGTTGAATATCATCCCGCCTGTCCTGACGTTGGACACAACACCTCCCCCTAGCAGTGCCCTCCGTGGCCTCCGATGATAAAGAAAAGTTTTCATATTCCAGAAAAGCTGTGGGGCCACACAGCCATGCCCTCGTCTTGTCAACTCAGGGCGTTCTGAACTCTGCCTTCGCCCGGCCGCTAGCACCCTTCCTTGTGACAACTCCTAGAAGTAGACTCGGCTGAGAAATTATCGGTGGCCTGAGATTCTGCCCCCCCCCCAAGCAACCTTTTGCAGAGGAGTTTGCCTTTGAACCTCATCTGTATCTGATCCTAAGTAGAGGATTCGACCACCGTGCCATCTTAGCTCTTAGGAATCTTGGCTTGTCTTGAACCCAAGGCGGCTGCCGGTTCCAGCAGCTGGCACGACATACACTAAAAAGAGCTGAAATCCGTCCCTGGAATATATTTAATTGTTCAAACAGAAGCGTAGAAACTCTTTGTCATAAAATGGCCTGCAAGCAACCGTTCAGCTTTCTCTTGATCCCCCAGATTCACAAACCCATAACTCTTTCCTCTCCCAGACCCGGATTCTAGTCACCCATGGGGTGAGCAATTTGCCCCAGATGGATACAATCATCGTGATGACCCAGGGCAAAATATCTGAGATGGGCTCGTACCAAGAGCTGCTCAAGCAGGACGGCGCCTTTGCGGAGTTCCTGCGTACGTACGCCAGCGCCGAGCAGAACATGGACAGGCACGGTAAGCGGCCGACGCTCTTAAGGGCAGGTGCAAGTAAACACATAACGTGCGCAAGGGTGCGTGCATGCACACTTGAGAAGCGAGCAGATCTTTTGGCTGAGTGAGGTGGGAAATCGCAGAAAGCTTAAGAGGAAGGTGGAAAGAATTAGGATCCTGACAGGCATCTGAATGGAGGTGGAACTTAAGAGACTACCCACCCCTCTCTAACGTGGTTATAAGACCGTCTTGTTTCGCCCTCATTGGGAAACTTTGATCAGTTTCCAGGTGGCAAGGAAGAGTCGTCCTCCCGGCTCATTTTAATTGCAGGCATGGCATTCTTCAACCTGAGAAAGCCGGGGGAGGAGGGCCCTGTCCCGTTTAGTAATGTCCTCACAAGCTGTCCAGTCCCTTCGGTCACCTGGCTTTTACGCCGGCTGCCGCTTCGGTGGTGCCCAAGGCAGGATCTGCTGAGTAGGATTTACTCATCATTCAGCGCGCTAAGCTCTGTGGGACAGCTTTGGTGTCGTGTTAGAAGAGCGTTTCATACACACAGTTTGATTTAGGTAGTGGTGGCTTACTGATTCACCCGTACCTGCCACGACTTCAGCCTAGCCTGATGAGATGGAAATGACTGGGGTTTGTTTGGGTTGTATTTTCCCCTTCCACCCCAATGGTGTTGTGGGTTTTTGCAAGGGAAGGCCAGCTCCCGCTCGTTCTGGTGGGTCTTTCCCAGGTCACAGTAGAATTCCAGAGGCTTAATTTCCTGACCTCGGTCTCGGTGGTCGCTCTCTTTCTCTCCTCGCTGCTATAAATCACAAGCCTCGGAGCAAGGAGGGGAATGGGGTCGCCCCATCTCTGTTCCATCCACCCTTTCGTTTTTCAAATTACTTTTTCTTCTGACTGACACTTAATGATATCCACACGCACCCCACTCCTTTTGGCTGCCCTAACTGTCTCCTTTCCATCACGAACCTACAGATGCCAGGTCAGACGAAGAGGAAGGTTAGTGGCTTCCCTCTGCCTGTTGCTCGGTGTCGTTTAACTATTCTGAACCAGCTTCTGAGATGTAGGCAAAGCATGCTTTGGCAGATCTAGTTCCCGCGGCTGACCGTTGCTTCTTATCCGAAGTGATGGCTTTTCCTTTGTTAACTGCTGATTTGCCCAAATAGAAACAACAGCCACCATTACTGTCATCGTCGTTGTTAGCCAGGATTCAACGTACCTACGTCAGGTGCACGCAAGGGCTTTGGATGACTGCCTCCCAGTCTTCTGAGGTCTTTCACAGGTCCTCGGTCTGCTTCAGGAAGCTTCTTTATGAAGTGTTTTCCTTGCAAGAAAAGGGAGCAGCTCTTTGAGTAGCTGGAGTCCCGAAAGATCTGAGCTGCCAGCTGAGTCTGAACACATACATGCTGCGTAGGTGCTGCTGCGTAGGGCGGTGCAGACGAACACGTGTCAAGGAAGCCTTGACGTTTGAGGAGACCTCTGATGAGCAAAGATGTGGGGCTGTTGAGAGGTGCTCCTGCACCAGCCGCACTGAAATGGACCCGCCCTACAAAGCAAAGCAAAAGAGGCTGCTTGTATACCGCCCCATCGTGCTTAAAGCACTCCTTGGCCAGCTCAGACATTCAATTGTGCAGGCTAGCTACACGTTGCACCCCGAGCAAGTTGGGTTCTCATTTGACTGACCTCAGAAGGTGGGAAGGCTGAGTCAACCGCGAGCCAGCGTCCTGGGATTGAACCCTGGATCGCAAGCGGAGTCTTCACGGCAGTACTGCTGTTTAACCCCTGCACCATGCAGGTCCTGCAGGATCGCTCCCCCACAAGTCCTAAAATTTGCCCGTGTGGTTTTAATGAAGCACTTTCCATTCCCCCCCCAAAAAAAAACAGAACCAGGGAGGAGGGGAGAGTTGGCCATCTTCCCAAGCTTTCAAAGACTCTTCTCCCGGGGGACAGGTCAGGAAGGATACCGCTTAAGAGCGGACGTAGCCTGCGGCTGGCTTTGATCCCCTTGTTTTGGCTTGAGTAATATTTGGAAGTTTGTGTATGCCTGCGGCGCTCTCTGCACGCCGAAAGGGAAAGGCAACAGTTCTCAGTGTTCTCCTTCGGAACATTTCCTGCGGCAGAATTCAGGCCCGAGAGAGAGAGAGACGGGGTGGTCCCCTTTGGCTTCCTGGCTTGCTTGTGGCGAATGCACTTGGTTTCCTTGGGAAATAAAAACTCAGCCGCGAACTTCATACATGGGCCGGCAGGAGTGTTTCATGGGGGGGGGGAATGCCTTCACCCCAGGAACTGGTCCCCTCCCCCTGGGAATGGATTTTTCCTTACAAACATGGACCCTTCTGCGAGTGATCCATCTAGTTCAGCTTCCCCCAGCGGTCATCCCACAGCTTCTGGGAAAACCGAGGACTCAGCTGTTCCAGTTACCGACCCTTTCTCGTTCTTCACTTTTTAGCAAGCGTCCCTGGTGGTAGACTGCTTCCAGCTAGGGAGGCTCCTTCAAGTCATCCCGGGGAACAGCCACCCGGAAATTCCCTTCTCCTTTTTTGAAACGTGTTTACCTGACGCAAAAACTCTTTTATGGACTTGCCCTGGTCGTGCCCGAGACAGGAAACGTTCCTTTAATTTTTTGCCTACTGTTCCAAAAAAAAACCCTTGAGGAGCTAGCTGAGGGAGTCTGGGTATTTTTCTTTCCCCACCTCCCCCCCAAAAACGAAATTTCCAAGGATATAGGCTACAGACATATCCTTGTGAGCAATTTTTATTTCGTGTTGAAGAGAAGGTCTTGCATTTATTCCATATCATAATATAGAGAGAGGCTTTCCCTGCTCGCTTCACCAGCATGTCGGAGCAAAGGTTTTCCAGTGTGTGCCTGTTGGACTAGCTATGTTTATGGCCATATAAACAACATGCCAAAGAATGAATCAGCCGCATAGTTTTGTTTGGGTGCAGGTTTAATTTGGGCATAGAATTGGGGGGGGGCGGCGTTGAAATGGAAATCTGGTGTGAACCTTTTTCACACGAGCGCTCATTCAGCACAGGGGTCTCTTCTTTCATAGATACCAACAGTCCAGTCACGAAAGAAGAAAAACACGTGGAAAATGGGGTCCTCGCGAATGAATCCTCGGGAAAACCAGTGATCAGGTATGCACGGTGTGTGTGTGTTCCTCAGATGTTTTTCTTTCTGCTCTTTGGCCGGTGGCCTTTGGAAGCTGTTCCTGGCCATCTGGAAACAAGGTTCGCAACCCCTTTGTTCCCAGGATCTGGTCTGTTTTCTGGACAGCGAGCCCAGGGGGAGAAACGTGGGTCGCTCCCACACACGGGGCGCCTCTCCCATTTTTTTTGTCCCTTGGTGAAGGCTGGGGGGGTCATCAGGGGCCTCCTCTGCAGGACGGGATGTGCTTTCAGCCGGGACATGTTGCACCAAGGGGAAGGAGCAGCGTTTAAACACGGCACACTTCTGTCCTCCCATCTTTGAGTCAAAGGGCAAGCTTCGGTTGGAAAGTTGCTTTTTAAGAAGCAGTTCCTTCCTTTCCTTGTTAGACCGCGTGGGAAATTGTGCATTGCTGTTACTTGTCGGCAGGTTAGTGAGTTGCTAACTGTGCCGTTGGCCGCCTTCCCTTTTGGACTTCAATTCCCAGGCATCTCCTTGGCAGCCAGGAGGATTCTGGGAATTAAAGCAAAGAAGAAGCCATGTTTCTCTGTCTTGGATGAGAGACATCCTTGGGTCTTTGCGACCTGGGTTAACTCCGCAGGAATTTCTGTGAAAAGTTCCAAATGCAGTCAGGCCCAGAGGAGGGGCCCCTGCAGGGCATTGTCGAGGTGAAAAGAGACATCGGTTTGAAAGCGCGCAAGGCGCCGGGGATCTGACAGCGTCCTTTCCTTTTTGTAATGCAGACAGCTCAGCAATTCATCCACCTACAGCAGCGAGACCGGAAAATCTGTGCAGCAGAACAGCACGGCGGAGCTTCAGAAGGTGCCAGCAGAGAAAAGTGCCTGGAAATTGACAGAAGCCGATACGGCCAAGACCGGGAAGGTGAGAAGGGAGCCCCGTTCTTTTCCCAGAAATGTGATGCATTTGGGGTTTCCAGAAATGGAGGAACCTGATGCTTCCAGCCTCTGGTTCCATCTGGCCCAGCCCCGTGTGGGTTGAGGAGCAGTAGGTTGTGTTTCTTTGCGGGGTGCGGGGGGGTTGTCTTGGGCGCTGGGAATCTTCCCAGTCCTACCTCAGAGATGCTGTCAGGGGTTCACCAGAGGGAGGCATTCTACCGCTTTCCTCCAGAAAGAAAAGAAATCACTTCCCTGAAACTAAAAGCCTACTCTTTTAACTGGGACAGGCTTTTGATTTTTATTTGACGCCTTCTGTCCTGTCTCTCCCGCCTGTCAAAACCGGGACTCGGAGGAACCCGTCAGAAGGCGAAGGGCAAAAGCGCAGCCGTTTTTGCCAGATGAATATCATGCTAAGCCACATCTATATTGAAAACGGCCTTTGCAAAAATGGTTCATTAAAAACCCTTACGAGAGGGGCCTGACTCGGGAGGTGTTTGAGCCCTCTGCTTGGTTTCTGTAAAAGACCTTTGCAAGTGTTGCGCCGTCAGCTTTCAGAGCCCTGGAAGGTCTGGAGCAGAGAGAGAGAGAGAGAGAGAGAGAGAGAGAGAGAACTGGTCCCCGGCCAAGTTTCCGCGGCCAGGCCATGGGGCTTTAATCCCCCATGTGCCAAGGGCATGTGTGTGTGTTTGTCTTTCCCCGTGGGGAGATCTGTGACCCCAGCCGCTGGTGCCGCTGTTGTGCCCGAGAGGCAGTTCTCCAGCAGCCGAACGCTGGCCTCAAATTACAGCTCAAGTTTTTGTTCTTCCAAGGTAGCCAGTCCCTCTCGGTGGCCTGAGCGTGTGGCCCATCAAAGAGCAGAGCGCGCCTTTCTGCTCCTCGGCGGCACCTCTTAGGCCCTGGAGGCTAAAAATAACTAGGGTTGGCCACCCGACTTGCCAGTACGGAATACATACTGACTTGAAAGCCAAGTGAAAATTCATGCCAATAGCTCCCAATTCCCAGCTGAATTTCTAGTCCACGGTTCAGGTCATGCAGCCAGCCTGTCACCAGCAATTCAGTCAGGGGCTGGTTAATTAGCAGCTAATCACAGCTGTAGGATTTCCCCATGGGCCCTTGTGCTGGTGTAAATGCTCAGCTAGCTGGATTCTGGCCCATGGTGTGTATCATTTCAAGCCCCTTGGAGAGGAAGATGAACCACCCCCTTTCTTATTTTATTTATCATATTGGAACCCTGTCTTTCTCCTTAAAAAAAAAGGACCCAAGGCAGTTTGCACTGTTAAAAGACAGGATTTGAAGCTAAAAGCCACAAGGATGCAAATGCTAAAGAGGATTAAACGGACACCAAAATGGCAAACAAAAGCCGCACTAAAAGCACATTCAAGGCAGTGAAGCGTCACCACCCACTTGAAAAACCCTGCTCAGGCAACCTGTCTGGAGAGGGTGGTCTTCGCCCGCGTGCTCGGAAAGCAGAAGGACAGAGAGGGACTTGGGGGGGGGAGTGCCATGACGGGCTTTGGGGATAAGCTGGGAAGGGCAGGTTCAGACGTGGGGAGCAGCGGCACCCACCCGGTTTGCTTTCCCGTCCTTTCAGGTGAAGCCCACCGTCTACTGGGAATACATGAAGGCCATCGGGCTCTTTGTCGCGTTCCTGAGCATCTTCCTCTTCATCTGCACCCACGTGGCCTCTTTGTCTTCCAACTACTGGCTGAGCTTGTGGACGGACGACCCCGTCGTCAACGGGACCCAGAGAAACACGGACCTCCGCCTGACGGTCTATGGGGCGCTGGGGCTCTCCCAAGGTTTGTGAGCCGCCTCTGTTCTTGACGTGCGCCCTTTCGCCCCGTTGCCCCGGTCAACGGGGTGGCCTCGTCGGGTTGCTCTCCCTTGGCCGTCCTTTCTGGGCGGTGTCCCCTTAATCCTTAGATAAAGGGGATAGCATTGGATGATGTGGTGGCGGTGAGCATGATAAGCAGTGGACGCCAGGATCGCTACACCCTCGTGGGTTTGTTTCTTGTTTTCAGCCAAGATCCATTTTGGCTGTGCGCTTCAGTTTTGACCATTTTCTCTCTGTGCGGTGTGTTTTGAGAAACAGGTTTCTAGTCCTCCTGGTGGAATCTCGGAAGCTGCCTGGATCTGAGCCGCGGAGTGTGTTGCTCGCTGCCTTTCTTAAAATGAGTGATGGAGAATCAGGAAGCCTGGGCACTTCTTTATGATATGTTTTATTCTGCCTCCTCTCTCAGGGGACCCAGAATAAACGTGGCTCACAAACAGTGTACATGGCTCTGCCCTTCTCTCCGCCCCAGTTTACCTTCCCAGCAGACTTGCAAGGTCAGGGAATCCTGAGAGAAGACGACCTACTTAGTCAATGTCAGGGGGAAGGCGGGAGGATTGGTGGCAAAGCCTTTGCCTCTTTCCGTCTCCGTGGTCGTCTTCTCCCGAGCTCGGCATCCAGGCCCCGTTTCCAGGGCTTTCCCACCCCCCACTGCGTTTCCAAGCCCTGTTTCTTGAGATTCCGCCCTCGAGAATGCCTTTGCCCCAGAGCGGCACCCTCTTGAGTCCACACCGGTTGGACAGGCGCCTGTGTGGGCAACTCAGCTGCCTCAAATAGCCTGGGGTGGGAGTGCCCCCCGGCCTTGGCAGTGGCACCCGTTGTGTTACGAAGGACACAACGCCAGCAGCGATACCCGATTCCCTCTGGCAGCCTCCCAGCTTTTCCCGAGAGCGGCCAAGTACTAGCTGCCCCCCTGCCTGCCCCCCAGGTGAGAAAGGGGGCAGCCCAGGTCACGGTTCCAGACCCACAGGCCTGAAGAAAGGTTTGGTGCAGGGCTGTCATCAAGGAGGTCCTTCGGCCCTTGTGCCTTCTTGCCAGGGCGATCCTGCTGGTCCGTTTCTTCCGCCCACGGACAGCGGAAATGGGGAGAGGAGGTTCAGGGTTTTTGTCCCGCCTGTCTCTTTTGAAGGCATCAGCGTCTTCGGCTACTCCATGGCCCTGTCGATGGGAGGGATCTTCGCCTCTCGCTGGCTTCACCTGGACCTGCTGTACAACGTCCTCCGCTGCCCGATGAGCTTTTTCGAACGGACGCCCAGTGGGAACTTGGTGAACCGCTTCTCCAAAGAAATGGACACCATTGACTCCACCATCCCCCAGATCATCAAGATGTTCATGGGCTCCCTGTTCAACGTCATCGGGTCCTGCATCATCATCCTCTTGGCCACTCCGGTCGCTGCCGTGGTGATCCCACCTCTGGGGTTCGTGTACTTCTTTGTGCAGGTAAGAGGGCTGCCCTTCCACCCTACCCTCTCTGGCTTCTCGCCCCTCCCTTCCTTTGCCCTTTCAGCTCCTCTTGAGGAGGCCCCTACGCGAGCCTCCAAACTGCTCCTTCCTGCGAGCCGTCTCTCCTTTGACCCTCTCTTTCTGGGCGTTATTTCACACATTCTGCAGCCAATGTGACAGGTGCCCATTTTAACAAAAGCTGCAGAAGGGCTTCCGTTTTGCTGCTCAGATTTTGGAGGTTGAAAGCCATGCTCTTAGGAGAGGGGACGTGGTCGTTTTTTTCCATGTGGTCTTCACGAACGTCTGGGTTAAAAGTTAAGTGTCGGAAAAGGGGGCAGGAAGAGGCTGGAGAAGGGAGGGCCGCCCCCAGGTTTCTGCCCGCCCCGGCGCCATTTCGTGGAGCAGCCTTTTTGCCCAGGGGCTTGTTGGCTCCGTTCCTCCCCCCCCCCGGTCCTCCTTCCCCTCTGACCTCGTCTCCCACTGGCCTTTCTGCAGCGCTTCTACGTGGCCACCTCCCGCCAGCTGAAGCGCCTGGAGTCGGTCAGCCGCTCCCCCATCTATTCCCACTTCAACGAGACGCTCCTGGGCGTCACCGTCATCCGAGCCTTCGGAGAGCAGGAGCGCTTCATCCGGCAGAGCGACCTGAAGGTGGACGAGAACCAAAAAGCCTATTTCCCGAGCATTGTGACCAACAGGTAGGCGGGCAGTGCGCAGGAAGGGAGTTCCCCTTATGGAAAGACCTGCCTTTCTCCTGGGATCCTCTCCCGGCGCCCATTGCAAGCGGACCGGCCTTTCGAGGGCGGCTTTGCCTGACCGGTCCTGTCCAGGTTGGCTCCCGTTTGCTTTATGGTAGCTTCGAAGGTGATGTTCCTTTGTTGCTAAGACTTGTTCATCATCCAGCCAGTTTTTCTTTATGGCTTTGTGGCGCTGTGTCTGCCCAGAGCTTCATTGTCCTTTTTTTCCTCTCTTTCTCTCTCTTTTCCTCCCACCCGCGACTTGGCAGATGGCTTGCAATCCGGCTGGAGTACGTCGGGAACTTCATTGTCCTCTTTGCTGCTCTGTTTGCAGTCATCGCTCGGCACAGCCTCAGCCCAGGGCTGGTGGGCCTCTCCGTCTCATACGCACTGCAGGTAGCTGAGAAAACCGGCGCGGTTGATTATGGACATTTCGGATTGCTTTGCGGTTTCGGTTCCTGTCTGTGGAGCCACAGGCTGGGAGTTTGACTCCCGCCCGGTGCTGGTGCCTCTTGCAAATTAGAGCCAGCCTGTGTTGTTTGTCGGGCAAAAGCTGTGCGGTCCCAGGGCAGAAGAAGAGAAGAGGCAACCAATTCTGGCTATTCTCTACCTAGAAAACCCAGTCAGAATGGACTGGGCAGCCCGTGGTTATTATTCTGGAGCGAAAGCAAAGGACTGTGAGAGCTCCCGGCAGCTGCAGATGTTCCTTTTCAACAGGGGGCACAAACTCAAATGAGTATCCAGATAGGATCCTTGTCTTAGGAGGGAGATGTCTCTCTGCTTGAGGAGGAAACGTGGCTTTCCGCATCATGAGATGTGTCAGGATCTCTTATGTGTGGATTCCTAGGGTGGCTACGCATTCCGTGAGGCTATCAAATATATAAAAAATAAAGTAGAAAGTTAATGAATTTCCTAAGGAGAGAATTTATGGCAGTGGTTATGTTTTAGACAGGATTCAGAGAAAATGCATTTCTAGGAAAAAAAATGATTGGAAAGAACAGAAGGCTGGCTCTTGTCTTATTGGCCTAATTCAGTGCCAAATCTGAGAGGAATTCTTGCTTCATATCTTTGCAGTCTGGATGTCAGCATTCAGACACGCAATCCTACACCAGCTGTCCTGACTTGCTATAACAGTGAAACAGTTCCATTTGCTTTGGGGTTTTTGTTTTCCCCCCACCCTTTGAGTGTATAAATGAGCTCTTATCAGGGAAACTTGAGTTGTTTCAAAAATGCCTCACCTCTGTTTCCCCCACCTCTCCTTCTAAGCGGGGGTATACCTGGTTCGAATCCAGGCTGAGAGTTGTTTATAGAAAGCTGTGACTTTGCATTGCACACATTTTCAGCTTGTATTTAATATTCTGTCTCTTATATACCCCAAATGGTTTCTGAACCTAGCCTGGGCCTTCTGTTTTCCCTTCTGCAGATCACTACTTACTTAAATTGGTTGGTCCGGATGTCGTCCGAGATGGAAACAAACATCGTAGCCGTGGAAAGAGTGAAGGAGTACTCTGAAAAAGAAAAAGAGGTGAGGTTTTGAAGACCGGTGGTCCTGTCCCTGGGATCCAGAGATTCTCCCACTTCGGTCTGCCAGGCCTTGCTTTTCCTGGTTTGGAGCAAGCCGGAGCTGTGAGGAGGAGAGGTTGCTTTGAAGGACCACCACCACCCCGTGCCTCGTGGAAATGATTGTCGTAGGAGAACAACCATCCATTGCCTTAAAAAAACTGGGCCTTACAAGTACCTTAAATTTAGTGGAGTGGGCTAGGGGGTTAACAGTGGAACACCAGCTAGCCGGCAACAAGTTATTCCACCCCCAGCTCTAAGCAAGGCAAAGTCGGGTTCTTTCTGCGACCTGAAAGCAATGGCAGGGGGGGCATGTGTGAAGATGGCAGGCTTCCCTGGGGGGGGGGTCTGGAACCTAAGCTTCCTGATGGTCTCCTGTGGTGCTTTGCATTTAAGGACCGCGAGTGCCCTCCAGTGGCCAAACCATTCATTTCCGTGTTGTCTCTGCCATGCCGGGGAGTCCTTCCAGCAGACTTTGGAGGAGAGAATGTGGCTGGGCCATGTTATGCACCCTCTCTGCTACCCGTGGGGGCCGCTAGCCCTGCAGCCCAGGGAATTCTGCCCAGGGTTAACTTTCCAGACCCCTGAGAGAGAGAGAGAGAGTAGGGCATGCTCTTGGCTTTAACATGCAATGTTACCTTCTCTCCCCACTTTATGGGGTACGTTAGAAGGCCGGGAGGACGGGCTGCTCTCTGCTGGAGGGGTTGGTCCTGGAAAGCCAGGGCAAACCATACTGGTAGAGGCAGACTCTCGAAACACCAGCTCCCCAGCCTTTCATTTCAGCATGGTATCCAAAAAAAAAATCCTTCATGGGGGGGGGAGAAGACTTAAGGGCTCTTCTGCAGGTTGTTTGGTGTGACCCCAAAGGGCAGGGACTTCCTCCAGCGAGGCTGACGGTTCGGTGTCTCCTCCAGGCAGAATGGACCCTCAAGCCGGCCACCCCACTGCCGAGCAACTGGCCGCACGAAGGCAAGGTGGAGTTCCGAGGCTACAGCCTTCGCTACAGAGACGACATGGACCTGGTGCTGAAGAACATCAACGTCACCCTCAACGGAGGAGAAAAAGTGAGCCCCGGAGCCCCTGCTCCCTCTTGGGGGGGGTCTTGGGTTCAGTGGCAGATCCTCCCCCCAAAAAGGCAGAACAGCAAGCTGGGAGGAGGTCTCTGGGGTCAAGGAGGCAGAGAAGGGCCCGGGAGGGAAACGGAGGTGGCGGAGAAGTGGGACACCGAGCAGAGAAAGGCAGGAGAAAGGGGTGGGGGGGCTTGGATCGCTTTTGGGGGGTGTTTCCTGATGCAGAGTTACCACCTGTGTCCCAAGGAGGCCGTAAACCAGCTCTTCCTCCTTCCGAAGAGGAACCTGGTCATTTCTCTCTGGGGTGGGGGCGAAGGGGGGAGGATTCGCCCTTCAGGAACAGCCGATGGCCTCCTGTGCCCATAGCTCTCGGTCCAGCCCCTTCCAACCTATTGCCCTTTCCTCATGGTTTCTTTTACCCCCTCCCTCCCTCCCCTGCCCGGATCCTTCTCCTCAGGTGGGCATCGTGGGGAGAACCGGAGCCGGGAAGTCGTCCCTCACCCTCGGCTTGTTCCGGATCAATGAGGCGGCCGAAGGGGAGATCCTCATCGATGGGGTCAACATTGCGAAGATCGGGCTCCATGACCTCCGCTTCAAGGTCACGATTATCCCCCAGGCAAGTGGAGGTGCTCACTGACACCTTGGGTAGGGCCCACGTAGCATCTGGGTGGGTGGGTGGGGTTGAAACGAGGCGACCCCTACCGGCCCAGGCCAGCCCTTTCGGAGCTTCTCCATCAGGGGCATAGGGAGTCGGAGTCAGCTGGAGCTTGTGCTAAAGGAACGGGCCCGCTTTGAGGACAACTAAAGAATCCTTGTTTCTTTCCTGGGGGGGACAGTTTCGCCTGCCTTTGGTCCATGACCCCCAGAGATCACCTCTGGGTCCCTCAGTGGACCACACTGGGTGTCCCCTGTTCCTGAGTGTCTTCCCCAAACGGCAGACAAAGCCAAGGGCCTCCCCCGTCACCGTGTTGCAGGGTTAATTTTTAGGCTACCAAACAGGAAGAAATACTTCCTCGGAGCCCTGCAGACCCAAGCCCGGTTTTAACCGGACAAAGATCATCCTCAGGGAATTGGTTCTCCCCGGACAAGTTGGGAGAGGAAGCGGGAGATGCGAAGCTTGCCCGTGCCTATCCCTCGTAAGTGGCGGTCACCCTGAACGCCTGTGTTGCTCGTGCGGGAGAACCTTTGCCCGCCTGGCTCCAGGCGGCGGGCCTTGGATGGCAATTCCCCCGGGACCCCTTTTGATCGGATTCTGTTGCCCAGGCAGGATCCCGTCCTGTTCTCTGGCTCCCTGCGGATGAATTTGGATCCGTTCAACCAGTACTCGGACGACGATGTCTGGACGTCTTTGGAACTGGCTCACTTGAAAAGCTTCGTGTCGACCCTCCCCGATAAGCTCAACCACGAGTGTTCGGAGGGCGGGGAAAACCTCAGGTAGGGGTAGATTTTGGATACCTTTAGGTTATTTTTTTAAAAAAATCTGTTACCGTCTGATAGCTTGTTTGAATCCTTTAAAAATACATTTTGTGTGTTTGTATCTGTGTGTGAGAGTGTAGATCACACTTCTTCCCCCTCTGCAAAAGGGAAATGGCCAATGCTGTCCAGTAGAGTTGAAACCCCCACCAGAAAAAGAGAGAGAGAGAGATTTGGGGTAATTCCATTTTAAGAGTTCCTCTTTTGTTCCCAGCATTGGGCAACGGCAGCTCTTGTGCCTCGCCCGAGCTTTGCTTCGGAAGACCAAGATCCTCGTCCTGGACGAAGCCACGGCAGCCGTGGACCTTAAAACGGACGACCTCATCCAGGCCACGATCCGGACTCAGTTTGACGACTGCACGGTCCTGACGATAGCCCACCGTTTGAACACAATCATGGACTACACACGGTGAGCATGGCTGGCCTGATTAGTCCGGGTGGGTCTGTTTCCCTCAGATAACAGGTGGAAAGTGCCTGCACGCCTGTTGCCGCCTGGGGACCTGGAGACCGAGGGTGGGGCTGCCCGGCTAGGCCAGCGCGGGGACCGGGCAGAAGGCTGGACCTGATAACGCTTCAGCCCGATCCGGCGTGGCTGTTGTGCCCTTATGGACCAGAATGACGGACGAGCTGTTGGCTGCCCCTCGCCCCCTCCCCCTCACTTCTGTCTTGTTTAATTACAGGGTGATTGTTCTCGATAAAGGCGAAATTGTGGAGAGCGGATCGCCTGCCGACCTCATTCAGAAGAAGGGCCTCTTCTATAGTATGGCCAAGGACTCTGGCTTGGTGTGATGTTGCAGGTCCCCTCGTTTTTTGGGGGGTGGGGTGTAAAGCCCAGAAGAGGACAGGTGAACCATCGTTCCCTGGCGGAGGTGTGCATCCATCCAAAGACCTTTGCCACGATACGGAAGCCAAATAATTTTCCTTAAGAAGCTTGATGGTGTGACTTGAAGAAACACAACCTCCTTCCTTTCCACACAGAGACACACACACCCCACCCCTCCCTCCCTCGTCAGTTTTGGGATTTTTTTGTGTTTGTGTGTTTTTCAGCTCAGGTCCTGTGCTTTTAGCTTTCACCTTGGGCTCCAACGGGTCGGCCAGCGACAGGACCAAATGTATTTTGAGTCTGCCTGTATGTAGAGAAAGGAAGAAGTGGCGGCTTCTTTTGCAAGGTCCCTTCCCACTGGAAAAAAAAATGCAGCCCTTTCTGGGGGGGGGGGTGAACCCTCAGGACAATGGCTGGAGACGAGGGATGGAGTGGGAGGCTTCTGCGGGAGGAGCTGAAAGAGGGGAGCGCTGGGCTTGAAAGATTCAAAGCGGAGTTTGGCGAACCCTTTTGGATGGAACTTGCTTGCCTTGGCAATGGAGGAAAGACAGAACAGGGTTCGGTGTCTGGATTTGATGTATTTGGCCAAAAAGAGAGCACGTTTCTTTCAGCGGGTGGCCGGCGGCTTTTAATCGGCCTGTCCAGTAGCTTTATTTTTTTGTGCCCGTGGCTTTAAAAAAGAACCAACCCCAGAGGTGGCTGGTACCAGCCCTAAGCTAAACGCTGCTATCCTTCCAAAAAGCCAAACTCTTATTTTTGCTTGGTTGTTTCTACTTCCCAACATCTTCCCTTCCAGCCTCCCTGTTCTCCCCCCCCCCCTACAATGGACACAACGACTACAGAAACAATGTGCTCCTCCTGTTTTCCATCACCTCATTTTGTTGGGAAAAAATATATGCGGTATCAGTGGCTCAGACTGCACACCCCAGGAGCCCGGAACTTTGGACTTTTTAAACACCTTGCAAAGGTGTTTGAAAAACAGGAACAACAATCCTTAGGCCTGTGTCTTTTCTTAGAATAAAGGCTATTTATTTAATTTTTTATTATTATTTTGTAAATCCCGTTCTCTGAAGTTACACAGACTGACATTAACTTTGCTATTTTTGTAATGGCTCCTGGAGCAAGCTTTCAGTAAAGCTTCTTCTGTTTGTTTAGAGACTCATCGTTCCAGGTTATTTGCATACCGACGGGAGATGTCAATAAAGATATGGAGTATTCCCCTTATTCACAATGCAGGAACACAAGCCTCATTGAACTGGACCTTTCTCAACACGACAGTCTCCTAGAATGCAACCAGCACCAGCCCCCATCACTCTAGCCACACTGGCCAGAACAATGGGACCTGTAGTCTCTTAGCCTTTTAGGAGACTACCATGTTGGTTAAGGCTGTTTTGAACTGCTGATTCTTTGAATATTGTGTTCTGTGCTTAAGAATACAAGCTGTACTAGAATGAGTATGGGACGAAATAATCCCCAAAACGGTAGATACACTTCTTAGGAATCCTGTTGAAAAATAATAATAGCAATAAGAATAATAGTGATAATTAGGGATAGGAGTTTTGGATTTGTTGGACTACAGATGGCATCATAATTCTCTAATTTGGGAGTTCTACCTGTCAGGCAGCCACCTCAGTGTGGCTCACCTGAGGAAAAGGTCTCTACTCTGAAGCTGAGCTAGGCCTAGCTCTGTCTTAAGCTGCCTGTTCCTGCCCCAGTGCTCCCTGGGAGCTTGCTTTCAGAACAGGAAGCTAGGAGGAGCTAGGCCTAGCTCAGCTCCAAAGGTGAGGTCAGCCACACTTTAAGATGTCTTGTCTGTCAAGCAGAACTCCCAGAGATGATGAAACCTGTTCTGTTTCCAACCTGAACAGTGAACCTCTCTGGTCGCCCGTGTTGAGAACCACCCAGAGAGCCACAGATCCGAGAAAACACAGAATTGGAAAGAGAGACGAGTTCAGCCTTTTGGTCTCGCTTGAGGAAATGAAGTCCAAGAAAGAAAGTATTGTGATGTGGGTGCCTCGACTTCTTTTTTAAAAATTGCCCCACATGGACTCACGGCAAAGGTCAGCGTCCTTGCCGTGGAAATTGCAGCACACAAGCGAGAAGATGGGTGACTCATCTTTTCCACTTGGTGGCTGGCGTGGCTGGTTTCCTCGTTTCAGAACAAGGGCTGCCCCGAAGCTTCCTGCCAAGCACAAGAAAGCAAACCTGGAACTCATCCAAGTAGGATCTTGCCACGTCAGATCACCGGGTACAAACGGGGGGTGGGGGGAGAGAACTGCTGGCCGAGGGGCCCCCTCCAGACCTCCAGAAGCCCTATTTAGTGGGGCACGCACCTTTCGTTCCTGGGACCCACCACCGTTTTCAGCTGGTGTGGTTTCCTTCCCTGTTCAGGACGGCCCAAATCCTCTTTCTCGGTGGCAGAAGGAAGAGCCCGAGAATCAAATGGGCCGGGATTTTCAGCCTTTTCTGTTTGCCACTTACCCCTGGAATAGGACTCTTTGAGAACTGAAGCCCTAGGGTTTGGAAAAGATGCTTTTTCTCCCCCCCTGGGGCCAACTTGTTACTTCCTCCAAACTGTTCCTAGGGGCCATCAGAGCACCCACCCCCTTTTCCTCCGTGCCTCGGTCTGACCACCCCTCTCTTAGCCACCTAGGTTCAACAGCCATCACGTCGTGTCTCAGGAGATTTTTAAAGGACCTACCGGTGACTTTTCCATCCATTTCAGACCCCCTTGAGGAGCCCTCTCTCCCGGGCAGCTCGCCGGAGTTATTGCTCCAGTTTCTGTCCACTTGCTCCTGCAATTATTTTTATTTTTACACTCTGGTAGCTCATAAAACACTCTGGAAACACACTGCTTGTTCAGGCTCCAGCTGGTCAGATCACACACCTCCTTCAGAAGACGCTGCTGGGGCATCAGGAATAATAATGCTGCCTTTCCTTTGCTCCTAAATAACCAGAGCAAACGATACCCAAAGTTGCATGCAGGGGCTTTCGGCCAGAAGCAGCGGGAGTGATCCTTCCTCCACCCCCAATGCGAATCGCCTGCCGAAAACCATATCCCGAAGAAGCAGCCAGAAGAGGACATGGGATCACCTGTTCCTCACCACCCCAATTTCTACAGGCTCCAGTGCAATTGTGGACGATGGTGGGAATAGTCATGAGCTCAAATTATCCCCCCCCCAAAAGCACGTTGTCATCTGCATCCCCCCTCCAAAAAGGAAGTTCTCCAAGCAAGACTGGCCCACTTTAGATCCTTGCTGAGACTTGAAAAGCAGTTTTTGTGTTGGGTTTTTTCTCTGCGTGTGTGTTCAAAATTTGTCTTGTAAAACATCAGGCTGTTTGGCCTCCCCAGCGAGCCTCCATTCCCCTGGCTGGTGGGAAAAGCGAAGGGTGGACAGGACGGGCCCGTCACCCTCAAAAATCCTACCATTGAGAGCTTTACCCCAAGGCTTTAGGCACCCGCAGCGACAAGAGTCCACGCTCGAGAGCTTTGACACAGCCTGAAACTGAAACTGCAGACGGAGTGCAAACCCCACAAAGCACGTCCCCTTCGGAAACCAGAAACCAGCATTAGCAGTCAGCTTCATTTTTTGCCCCCCTTACAAAATGGACCCGTTTATTTATGGAACAAAATTGTCCTCAGGCTCAAATGCAACT